TTTTTTTTTTTTTTTTTTTTTTTTTTTTTTTTTTTTTTTTTTTTTTTGCAGTCAACTCCAACCTCACAGTATAATAACTTGTAAATATTTAAAGAAAACTGAAAGAAGAATTTGTGATTCGGTGATTAGTCGCAAGAAGGATGGGTGTGGTGGAAGATGCAGTCTTTAAGTATTTTTCTTATTATATTTTTATCTATTTGCTAATCTTTATTGGTTTTTTGGTGTTCCATTGTAACAGATTGGCATGTTCTGTTACAGTGGATTGACTCCCGAACAGGTCGACCGTTTGACAAATGAATATCACATTTACATGACTCGAAATGGCCGCATAAGGTAATTTTATAAATGAATTAGACACATGCATTGGATTGATAATCGTTTTTTTTTTAAATTTTTTTAAATTTTAAATTTTAAATTTTTTTATTTTAATTAATTAATTAATATTATTATTATTATTATTTTGTCTTGGTTTGTAACGTTTTGCTTCTTCATAATTTCTTTGGTAAAATCAAATCCAAGTCAATTTTCAATTTTGCTAATTAGTTTTTTTAGTTTTCAAATTTTGGTTTAGTATTTGAAAAATGTTGGACTTTGTTTGATAACCATTTGAGTTTTTGATTTTTGAGAATTAAGCTTATAAATGCGGCAATCATATATTGGTTTTTTTTCATAATTCAAGGTAAATTTTGAACATTAAAAAAAAAAAAAAAAGTAGTTTTTAGAAATGTGTTTTTGTTTTTAAAATTTAGTTAAGAATTCAAACGTTTACTTAGAAAGAAGATGAAAACTGCATTTAACAATTTGTGAGAACAAACACAATTTTCAAAAATAAAAAATCTAATGGTTATCTAACTTAAGCTTAGTTTTTAGTTTTTAGCTTTTTTTGTTAAAGTGAAAGTGGAAGTGGTATTTACGGTCTTAATTTTCAAAAAATAGAGAACCAAAAAATAAAGTGAGTTGGTTTGATTATGTCTTTCATTTTTAGTTTCATGTGTTTGAATATAATGTTTATTCGTTTCTTCATTTTTTTTTTCGTGAAAAAAAATAGAACTAAACCCACGGCCGTCGAGTTTGACTTCTATTAAGTCTACCGACAGCTACTTCTGAAAATAGGTTTAAAGAACTTTTAAACAGGAAAAATGGGGCGGCGTTAGTTTATGTTTTGGGCTCCTCATTATTTAACAAACACTACTAAAATATCTTTATTTTATTATCTACCTTCTAATTTATGTTTTCAAAATCGCAGCAAAATGCTCAAATTTTAGAAACTTAAAGATATGATTTCAAATGTTCTTTTATCTTAAAAATGGAAATCAGAATAAATAAATGAGAAAACCCGTCTAAGTTTCAAAAACGGAGAACTAAAAACGATGTATTAAAATGGGGGCACAAGTGGTCTGTTTGCTCACGAAATTAGTGTCTAAACAGTATGGCAGGTGTTACAAGCGGGAACGTATCATATCTGGCAAACGCCATTCATGAGGTGACAAAATCTGCTTGATTGCGACTCACAAATTTTGTTCGCTACGACACTACAGGGGAGTCTCTGCTTGGTGAATAAGAAGGTACTACAATCCTTCCATCTTCCTTTTCTATCTGGGGAAGGGAGGGCAGCCACACAGATTAAACATTGATTTTTGTCCTCGTAATTCATGTTAATTTTGGATTTCCAAGTTTTTGAGTATGATAATGTCAGTTTGGATAGTCAAATTGGTCAGAATATACCTTAATTTTCCATTGCCTGCTAAATAATTAAATAATTGATCCATTTGCTTTTCTTATATGACTTTATGGAGGGTTTCGTAGACATATTAGGGTCTTCGAGTTCAGTTTCCATCATCTGTCACGCTTTTCATTTTTCAATTTCTGATGGCCTTTTCATGTTAAATATTGTTCTATTTTTAGTTCATATGAATTCGAACTGAAGATCGTCGGATGCCATTAGGGGTCTCGATTCCTAATGTTTCTTTTTTCGTTTGTGTTAAGATTTTCTATTTTTTAAAATTTAAAACCAAATGTATTTGATGATTTCTCGATTCCTAATGTTTCTTTTTTCGTTTGTGTAAAGATTTTCTATTTTTTAAAATTTAAAACCAAATGTATTTGATGATTACTTCTAGGAAGATTTATCAATGAGTCATCTCTTTTAATGCATTTCCACGCATCTAACCTACTTTTCTCTTTCTAAATTCACGTTTCTAAATATTTCTTTAAATCTTCTTTTTCCTCTAACGTTTACTCTCTAAAAGTTCTTCCTCTATTACTCTATAGTCGTTGGATTGATTTTCCAAGTGCTTAAAAGTTTAGTTTAATGTTTGTCTGGATTGAGTATATAAGTGTTTAAAAACTTATTTAATATCACATCAAAACCTGCTTTAATCATTCAAAATAAATTTAATTTCTGTTGGATTAATTTTCTAAGTTCTTAACATGTGTTTAAAAACCTTATGCACTTGGAAGGTCGATCTAAATAGAATCTTAATGTTTGATTTTATTATCTAAATACATATTTTATATAATCAAAATGGATTTTAAATATGAAATGCATATTTTAAAGTAATTTTTAAAATGACGTGATTTAAACGATTTCAAAATCACTCAAACCATACCCTTAATCTTCTTTTTTGAGATATAACCTAGCATTTTCTCTCTTTTTCCTCTTTATAAAAACAAATAATAATACTGGCAAAAATTAGTCTTACTTTAAAAGATTATTTTTTAAAGAACGCAAAATCCTCAGTTTTCCGTTAATAAGAGATAAACAAGTGCTTCCTTTATTAAAAATGTAGATCAAAATATGTTTTCTCAACGATCTTAATTATTTAAAAGTAAAATTTATTTTATTATTTTTTATATTGGAGTGCGAAAACTTTGGAGAGAGAAAATATAGGAGTGAGAAAAAGGTAGGAGAAATAAAAGATGCATCAGACCGAAAATGGAAAGAACGTGCGAGGATGCGAGGAGTAAAAAAGTAAAATTGAATGCAAAAATATATATATATATATATATATATATATATATATTTTTTTTTGAATATTTTGCATCTCAATCTCAACTTTGCAATTTTAAAACCATTTTCAAAATAAAAAAAATTCATAAAATTGGCAGGCTATTAATGTTTTATTTTAAAACTGACAACCTAAAACTAGAAATCGAAATCAAAATCAAAATGGCAATCCAACAAATCTAATCTCAACTTTGCAGATTTAAAACCATTTTCAAAATAAAAAATTCATAAAATTGGTAGGCTATTAATGTTTATTTTAAAAGTGAAAACCTAAAACTAGAAATCGAATTCAAAATCAAAATGCCAATCCAACAAATCTAATCTCAACTTTGCAATTTTCAAAATAAAAAATTCATAAAATTGGACAGGATATTAAAGATTTATTTTAAAAGTGAAAACCTAAAACTAAAAATCAAAATCTAAATCAAAATGGCAATCCAACAAATCTAGATATTTTAAATTTTGGGATATATAAAATCTCAAAGATTTTGAAAAATTCCATGCCTTGAGAAGAGAAGAGGATACTAGACTGGAGACGTATTTTTAAACCCAAATTTTTGGTGAAAAAGGGCCAAATGAAAAACAAAAAAATTTAAAAATCCAAAATCTAAATCCACTCCTTGCTTAACCGAACTAACCTACTGCAAATTTTCGTTAGTGAGATAGATGGGATGATGACGAACCTTGAAGAATAGAATGGAAGTGGCAAATTACTAACGCAAATGTCAAGGCCGTCAACTTTCTTGGCATATTATTGGCTCATCGGGAGATCCCCACAGTCATTTGATTGCTTTTCTTCTCTGCCTGCAAAGTAAAACAATGCCATTTCTTTTTCCTCTTTTCCCCCCCTCCGGCAACAAATCTACAGTCAAAAAGCTTAAAAATGATACACACTTATATATGATTATAAGCTTCCATACTAAAATAAATACAAACAAAGGGCATAATTTTAAGACACGGCGATTATTAGCTACGTGTATTACAATCTATAATAAGCTACTTGAGCTCGTAATGGGATTTTGTATCCCCTGATACCTAGCAAGGCGTGATACAATACAAATACCATTTATATACTCCTAGCTATCTATAATTTGTGCGGTAAAAATAATGTACATACGTACCAAATATTATATGTTATCATATCAGCAAATGTTAAAGTAATTGATATTTTACCACTTCCGCGATGGCGCTGGATGGCCCCGTATGTATAATTTTCCAGAATGGTTGGATTTTCAGAGACGCAGACCTCTCAAGCTACTTTTGATAAAGACGAACTTAGTCCTTTCATGGCCTCGAGTTAATGTTTGTACCTGCTTGATGAGGTAACGCTAGTCCAGTCTGCCGCCGGACATGCTCTGGTATGAGCCTCTTTATCAATTCAGGTGATGCTCCGGAAAGCTGAAAAATAAATTTAATTATGGAAAATTAATCGACGAAAATATCTAGGAGAAATGAATTATATATATTAATCTTAGATGCAGCTAGATGGAAAGGCTAAATCTACTGCTGAAAAAAAAAACGTAAACGAATTATAGACATACTTCCTGTTTAAAATTGAAGAGTGGGGGCAACGGACGACCATTGGGGAGGCGGGCATTAGGCTCCCGAAGTTCATGAAAGAAGGGATGCGCACATGCTTCAAGCTGCCCATGGTGAATTAAAGTTGGTCAGAAATAACAAACTAAATTACATGATGTAATAATGTACAGATCAAAATGGTAGAAAATTGGAGAATTCAGCCCATTGCATGTCCAAAGATTCGTAAAGTTTCTGGATATAGGTATTATAATATATTACTAGATTATAGATATCAACAGTAGAGTATGAAAAGTTTGAACTCACTGCAGTGGACCGGAGGCCGGGAGAATATTGAAGAACCCTTGAAGCAAGGTCAATAGCTTCGGGTGGCATTCGTTTGTGAAAGACCTAAATGGGATTTACGTAAATGTATTAATTATAGGAGCAGAGAAAATTGCAGAGAGAGACAAATCAATCACAAATGGATCCATTTGGACAAAAATTTATGGACGAGTGATATATATTCAAAATAGGACCGCGTGAATAGTTTGACAGAACCTTGAACATGCACGTGCTAATAAAATACCTTGTGCCACGGATGGGCTTTGATCTGAGGAAACCTAAAATCTGTATAATTTGGATTCATGCATCGAATTTCTTCTCGAGTTGGAGTGCCAAGAACCTGGAAGTTGGTAAAAGGAAAATTAAGTTACAACAATCATACCTTCATGGCCGTGAGAAATATGTTTAGTGAACCAGAAATTAGGCTTCACCTTGATTATCTCAACCAGTTGATCTACGGCACTTTCCCCAGGAAACAATGGCTACAAGGAGATAAGAAATTAAATTGAATGAATTTCATAACCTCTCTGTCATAGATAGTAATAATCAGAAACTGCCACAAGATATCAACCTGGCCTAGAAGCAGCTCGGCAAGAACACAGCCAGCAGACCATATGTCGATGGACGTAGAGTACTCTGTTGCACCAAATATGAGCTCTGGAGCTCGATAGTAACGGGAGCATATGTAAGCGATGTTTGCTTCACCTTTAACCTGATGACAAAAATATTATAATAAAGATATTGTGGACATAAAATGGTAAATAAAATAAAGAGAAATAAATTAATCGTGAACCAATTGTCAATACTATTACTTGAATGCTCAACATAATAAGCAAATCTGGAAATCAGATGCCATAATTTCAGACCACTTTCTGAGTAACTACGCATCCAGAAATCATACCGAAAAGCACCCTTGAGAAAATATTCATTTTTTGCTCACAAACGAAATCATTTGGCTAATTTGATAACCTACATCTTCACCAAAATAAAATCATTTCTTTTTCAACAGTAGGGTCTTCATCAACGACCATTAAACTTAGAGTAGCCTCGTTCAACATGTAAAGATATAGGATAGAAATAGCGAAAGCTATACCAGGACTTTTGCGCTTCCAAAATCACAAAGCTTGACCTGATGCGTGAGAGGATCAACCTGCAAAGTTTATTCTACATTAGAAGGAAACTTCAACTAACATGCAAATTGTAAGGGGCTAATCTATTAGAAAACGTGCTAAACTATTTTTTAGCTCACAAATAATAAGAGACGAATAGGTTATATACCAAAATATTATGAGGCTTTACATCGCGGTGACAAACTCCAGGAACAGTGTGTATATAAGCTAGTCCCCTGAAGATCTAATAAACACATAAATTTAGATTAAAAAATGAAGAATGGAAAGGACAAAGAAAAAATGTTGAATAGTCTATGGGAGTGTGAGTTCATACTTGATAAGTATAAAGTTTCACATAGATGAGTGGCATCCTCTGGTTCATATTGCAGTAGTGCTTCAGTACCCGATACATAGTCTCGGGAACGTATTCCATGACCAGATTTAAGAAAAGTTCATCCTTACTAGTTGTAGAAAAAAAACAATGCTTCAAGGAAACAACATTTGGATGATCCATCAAGCGCATTAACTGCAGCTCACGATTCTTATAACGTCTGTCCTGCAAGACTTTCTTTATTGCAACAGTCTCCCCAGTTTCCAAGCATTTAGCCTAACAAAAGTAATAAAAAAATAGAACAAATGAAAGGACAGGAAAGGAAAGGAAATTTCATTAGATGTTTTATTAGTTTTTTTATATACCTGGAAAACAATTCCAAACGATCCGGAACCAACAACACGTTCCGCCATGTAGCTAATAGTCTAAAGCAATGTGAAAATCAAGGAAACAAAAGTAAACAGTTTAGCCACTCAAAATATTGGAGAACAATAAAATGCTAGAAGTGTGTCTGGGCACCAAGTGTAAGTCTTGGTCGTCGTACAAGAAGCAAAAAATGACCAACCAAAATTTTATTATAATACCTAAGTTGATAAAAATGGAGCTAATAATCGAAATTGAAACACTCTATAGATCCGTATGTGAATAGCAGTAAGTTGAGTAAAAAATTAAATTATAACCTGTTTTGGCTCGCCATTTTCCCCTCCAATAGTAGTGGAGATTATGTGACCAGTTACTGCATCCTTACTTTCTACAATAGTCGATGACATTTCCTGCAATTTCGTAGCGATAAACAACAAAAGATGAGTTAAGTGCCTAAGCAATAAGGATGACCAGCATTTGAACACTTGGAAAATAACACCTCAAAACTTGAATGGATATTAGGAACCGTTGAAAGGCGTTAATAAAAACCAAAAGACATCAACAGTGCCTCTCGATATATATTTATTTTTTTAATCAGAGACTGACTATTTCGCTGATCATATTTCGTATCAGGTCTCTATTTTTCAGTGAAATGATTTGTTGCCAAGGATTTGGAACTATCCGCGATGTTAGTATTAGGAATGTTTGTCAATATTAGGATGTGTTAGGAAAGCTATGAAAAGAGAAAAGCAAGTTCAAAATGAAAAAAATAAATCGACGTCTTCAAAAATAGAATAATGAAAAGTATAGAGAATCAAGTATCATCAACATTCTCAAGCAAACTGCAAGCGTTTAGAACACAAGAAACCAAAAGTTAAAGCTTCAAATAGTTGAAATATTAACTACCGAACTGTACCTGAACGCAAAAATCAAGTGAAACAGTACTCAAACAAGTTCATGATCGAACGCAGCCTAACTAAGTAACTGCAGGTCGTGTTAGATTGAGATTTCATTATAACAGTACAAACTCGAGGAACGGAAAGAGAACGAAGCACCTTCAGTGACTAAGGAAGACAAAATTTGAAAGAAAAAAATACGCAAGCAAATCTGTACGCGGTTTTGGACAACGAACATTTACTGTTCTTCGACGAGATCAAGAGAAACAAAAGGAGCAAACAAGATAAATGAGCGATTTATTTACTCTTAATTTTAGCAGTTTAACTAAAAGAACCTAAGCGGAGAAGATTAAGCTCGTAATCAGGATCGTGATCTCGGCCAAACGTTCCGAAATGGAAGAATGCAGCACCAATAGCATACAGTTTCGAATAGATATAAAAGTAGTTCAAGAAACAAAATCTCTCCGATCGCAAACTCAGTCAGAAAACAGACCACAAGATCATCAGTCGAAATGCTCCGATCAGAAACCATAAGCATTATAAAACCAGCAAGATCGCTTACGAATTCTTCAGAGGCGAACAAAAAACACGAGATCGCTTACGATTCATGAACTGTCGCGAGACAAACCACAACAGACACGAAAACGAACAAGATAGAAAAAACAACTCGAAACAAAATAATGAAAGCAAAAATCACCTTATCGAAGTCCATTCCAGAATCAGAGTGTAGCCTGAAGAGATTCAGAGGATCATTCCAAAGCCAAGGCCGTCGCCGCAGAAACTCCGGTAGCCGACGGTGAATAGCAGAGCACTAAGAATCAGGAGACAATGCGAGAGTGAGAGAAGATTGAGCCATCGCCATTTCGATTTCTACATAGAATTTCGCGGGCTGTTCATCGTCTTTCCACTACAGTGAAAAGAGAGAGAGAAAGCGGGAGAGAGTGACGAATGGTCCAGTCAGATGGCTTTATGGAATTGGTATCTTATAATCTTATCTACGTCCGGAGTCAATGCCGGTGGTTCAGTGTATGAGGCCACATGCTAACTCAGGTGGACCTGCCCCCGAAGAGACAGATTCCACAACCATCACATGATGTGGACCCCAATGATTCACCTTTTTAAAAGCAAAGTCTTTTTCACTTATTGTTATTGTTATCAAAATAGATTAACACATAATTATGATTTAATAAGTAAATAACATTATCTCCAAAAATTCAAAAATAAAACTATAAAAACTTTTGTTCAAGAGTAGAAAATATATCTTAAAAAAATAAAAAAATAAAAATATATATATATAAACGTGGAGTGGTAAGATTTGTTTGATGATAAAAGTCCCACCTCGGCTAATTTAGGGAACAATCGTGAGTTTATAATCAAGGAATACTCTCTTCATTGGTACGAAGCCTTTTGGGAAACCCCAAAGCAAAGCCATGAAAGTTTATATTCAAAGAGGACAATATCATACCATTGTGGAGAGTCGTGTTCGTCTAATATGGTATCGTAACCATGCCCTAAACTTAGTCGTGCCAATAGATTGGTAAATCCTCAAATTTCGAACAAAGGACTCTATGCCTTAAACAATTAAAGAGAGGTGTTGGATGATGAAAGTCCTACGTTGGCTAATTTTAGATTTAAAATTTGAAACAATTTAGCATTATCATTTTTTACTTAACTATTTACCATAATCATTAGTGTCCCCTTTTTCACTATGAAATGTAACATTTAAATGACTTTGTGTAAATAAAAGATAGATAAATATATATTTTATAAGAATTAATGAAAAGTTTAAATTACTTTTTATATAAAATTACAGAGCGAAGCACGAGTCCAACAGTTAAAATATAATTTAAACCAATTTATAAGAGTTTAATTCAGACTAGAAGTTCTTTATTTAAAGTCGTCAAAGATTCACCCGCGCGCAGCAACCTAAAAAGGCGCCAAAAGAATTTGTGCAGAAACTATGGGCCGAAAGGCAAATTTTGAAAAGGCTAGCCTTCAAAAATTTTTAATTTCATAGTTTTTCAATTTCAAGAAATACTTCATTTTCCTCTCTAACTAACGTGAGATATCATAGAGCCCAGCGTCCACGTTAGCACATTGCTTAGTGACCAGCACTGATACTATTGTAATGACCCAAGCTCATCGCTGATATATATTGTCTGTTTTGGCTCGTTACGTATCCTCGTTAGTCTCATAGTTTTAAAATTCTCTGTATTGTTCCAATTTTATCGGATTTCTCTGATTGATTATTAAATTAAAAAAATAATAATAATAAAGAGGGACCAAGGACTATAAAGCAAAATTAAATTTCATTGAAGGGCATTAATCCTTTGAAAGGAGGAAACAACTAATTTCATCCTATAGTAAAAGCATCTTTCTTATTTTGTATATTGTTTTTAGTTCTTAATTAATAATTAATTAAGATTAATTAATTAACCACCCTGCAATTTAGTCTAATCTCACTGGCGGCTCCAGCTGGAGGACCGAGATTCCCCATCTTGATCATGGCGCTAACAAAATCCGCTCTAAAGGTTGCGGGACTCGTACTGTAAGTCCGAACCAACGCGTCTTGTGAGCCGCCGTTGAACAGTACTTGGTCCGAATGAAACAGCCCGCGCTTGTTCGTCAGGTCTACGAAATACTTGTTGTCGAACATATTGTTGGTCGAGTCGAGAGGGGCTAAGTTTGTGTCACCGCCCGAGAACGGACAGTTGGCTTGCCGTTGGGTGGCGAAGGCGGGATCGATATTGGTCTCGTTGTAGATTCGAGTTCGGAAGAATTGACATTTAGCCACGCCTATGGTGTGACCACCCGAGAGGGCTGTCATGTCACGAGCATTGAGCCCTTGGGCAGCAAACATCGAGATGAGCGTCGAGAGGTCGGAGCCTGGCCCTGGAAGGTTGCTGTTTGCTCCACTCTCGCTTGCAGTCCTCGAGTCCTTTCGTCCGAGTGGTACAGCCCAACTCGGCCCTCCGAGCTGTAAATTAAAATATTTAATAGTGAGTTTACAATGAATAATATACAAAAATGTATGATCTTTGCATATAAAATAATCATGCAGGAAAAATTCAACAACGAATTAAATAATTCAAATAATACGATTAATTAAATTACGTGGAAAAAAAATATTAAAATATTCCACGTATATAGACAAAGGAAAAGGTTAACATGTTTTTTAAAATATTTTTACAACTTACTATAATAAATTATATAAATAAAATAAAATAAAATAAAATAAAAACCATGATCTTACGTAGAAGGGTTTTACGTAAGATTACAGCTAATAATTAAAAGAAATTAAAAAAAAAAGGTCAAAATTACCAAAGCGACCCCATCGCGAGTAGCGAGAGCAAGAATATCAGCACAGGAAACGGTGGCTTTACAAGCAGCTTCGACCTGAGTTTTAATATCGTCAATCACTTCAAATCCTCTAGCTGAGTTTCTATTTGGAAATGCATTTTTTTCGCTTGTAAATGTTGAACTATCATCGAGCAATATAGAACCATCGCAACCCTGCATTAAAAGATGGATTAAGAATCTATTTTGAAGTATTTTGTTATGATTAAGATGTTTTTTTTGTATCGTACATTTACGAAGCAGTCGTGGAAGAACAAGCGAAGGATTGAAGCTGCGAGACGTTTTTCTCTGTTAACGGCTTTGATCATACCCGAACGAACGATTCCTTCGAGTCGGGGACAGGTTTTGGCGTAGAAGCTGGGCGAGAGCTGAGCATTGGCGGAGAAGGCGAAAAGGGAAAGAGCAATGAAAAGATGAGAAATAATGGATGCCATTAGAAGAAGTAGAAGAAGGTTGGAGTGTGAGGGTTTGGTTTGCAGTCGAATTATTTATAGACGAGAAATATTGGATTTATTATTATTATTTATTTATTTAAATTTAAAAAAAAAAAAAAAAAAAAAAAGGAAATAAAAATGGTGAGGCATGTGAGAAAGACGTGGGTTTGTGAGGGAATAAAATTCAAAGTTTGCTGCTGCTAATAAAACGCGGTTCTCCACTTAGCTGAATTGTTTGGTTGTGCGGGCAAGCTGCAGGGCAAGAGAGAATCTTTCAATCACGGGGAAGCCAAGAATATCAGTATCAGCCAAGGGAACCAGCTTGAATGTTGACTTATATTTTATTTTTTTATTTTTAACAAAATCAAAGTTTGGCATGAGGAAACCCTAATCTACCTATATTTTTCGTCAACTCCAAAAATATAAATTATTTTGAATATATATATTATTATTCGGGCATATAAATTTAGCCCGAGTCTAAATGGATTCTATCAATTAGTTAAATACCCAAAAATCGGATTGCATTTCACAGCTGAAATACATGAATATGATAAACCAAAAAATTTATGGTTCTTATTGGCAAAGCCACTTTGCGACCCACTCTCACTAAAAATCACACCTCCAAGTCAAATCGGTGCATGTTTTGTTGCACGGAGGCGTTATACTAGGTGCACCCTAAGTGGCTTTATTTATGTAGAGGTTAGTATTGTTATGTGCTCCTCCTTGCTCACTGACTTTAGAATCTGAAAGTGACATTTGGATGTTTGTCGTAACATATTGGTTCGGAAGGTTAGCGGAGTCTAGGGTTATGGATGAATTTAGTCAACAAAAATCCAACTCAATCAATATCAACAACATGTCGTGACCAGTTAGGCTCGGTTGATTTTGCAGAGAAGAAAGTAGGTTTCGGGGGTTCATTGATTAGTAAACCTCCAATACTGGTAAAGTTGTGATTCTGGTCGTCCGTCTCCAATTTACCAATAGATAAGATCTTTGAGATCGACCACCCAACTGGGTTAGTTTGACTATTTCTTTCTATTGAAAAAGAGTCAATGTCTCGAATCACTGGTTCGACTTATTAAAATTTAAAACCAGATATCACTTTTTTATTTCTTAGCATGATTTTGACATTAATATTTGAAATTAACATATTTTCTTTATAATACAAGAAGAGTTAATATAATCCCAAGTGGCAAAAATACTTTTGGTAATGTTTAAAATGATTGGAGCAGCTGTCTTGAACGAACTTTGCTAGTTAGTCCCTCCATTTATGTCAAATCATTTTTAGTCTATCGATTTCGGTGTAATTATAAAACAGGCTATTTTCCTTTTTTTTTAATTTAATTTTTTTTTTCGCATTTACCAATATTCTATTCACATTTTCTCAAAAACCTACCACAAAAGGATATTGTTTAATGTGGATCCACGTGTACAAATTAAGAATAATAATAATAAATTTATTTAGGATTAGAGAATGATTAGCCCCGGACAATTGTGTGGAGAGAGAGAGTGGGTTTAATGGGGTTAGTTACTTGTGCTGACTTGTTTCATGCAAAACAACAAATTAAGTATCAAAAAAAGGGGCATTTACGAAATATATAGGGACAAATGAACAGCCCTTATCTCAAACATTAGGCCAATTTGGATTATTATTCTTATTTTTGTCGTAAGCTTTTATAATTTAAATCCGTAAAAAATTTATTGGATATAAAATTAAAAATATTTTTTAGAATTTTATTAATGTCAGTTTACTGGTTAGGATTAAATTTATAATTTAACCTGTAACTAAATTTTTATTAATTTATTAATTTTGTGTAATGAATAAGATAATCAATTATTGATTGTTAAAACAATCGTACCTAATTTCACTAATTATTGTGAATTAGTTAGAGGATAACTATTGAGTTCTTTTTTAAATTGGGTTATTTGGTTTATCTTGTAATTTAAATATTTTTTTAAGAGAATTTTGTTTTTAATCATAGCATCCTATGTTTGGTTCTCTAAAAATATTTTAATTATTAATTTCATTTGTTGGACTGATTATAAAAAATCAATTTATTTACATTATTTTTTATCAATTATTTTAATTTAACGTGATTTTTAAAGTTAATTTTGAACTCGTTTAATTATTTCTATTTTTTTTGGTCCCACACTCTATTTTTTTTTTTTTTTTTTTTTTTTTTTTTTTTTTTTTTTTTTTTTTTTTTT